GATTTATTTAAATTTGTTTTACCTCAAATTTTTTGAGTGTACCTCAGAGAGTACAGTCAATGAATCCATTTGGACTACACACGGTTGCTCTTGCAACAAAATTGCCATGAACAAGTTTTACATTTAATTTAACAGTCAGGAACAAACAAAGCAAAAAATAATAGAATTGTGAATAGTTTGGTAAAAATTACTCAAAAGTAGTCCTTAGTTTGATACTTTTGCATTTAAAGCTGTTAAGGTGAGCAGTAATTATATTGATTGGCCGTCTGAGCATCCAATCAGGTATATTCTTGATTATTTCACAGGATAAACCTTTTTCTGAGAACTTAACGTTAAAAAAATATTTTTGGCTCTGAACTTGCTTTGGATGAATTGAATGGCAGAACATTTACAGCCAACCAGCTTTCAATTAACTGATGGAAACTGAATGTTTCTCACGCTTACGTTTAGTTATTCAGATTTTGAAATTTATGTCCATTTTAATCAATCCTACTGCCCTTGGAAAACCAAAGTGCAGTGTTTCGGAATGTCAGAAAGAAATTTTTATTTTGCCAGACGGCCCATTTTGACATGCCACAATTGACGTTTCAGATCAATTTTTTTTGGAAATATTTGATCAAAGCACTGCGTTTTTTTTTCGACGCGCGCTCCAACACTAATATACATAGACGATAAAATTGTCTTTGGTATGTTTTTTAGGCTGGTCAATAGAAAATATGTCGGAAAAAAAGACTGAAGAAAAGTATCAAAAAAGAAGTTTTTTTTTAGGCGCCAGAAGGTCAAAATAATCCCAGAGAAAGGCTTTTCGCCTGTTTCCAATCCTGATCCCAATCGCCCTGGAACAAAAAAGACATCCCACTCCAACCCGTCCCCCCTCAAAATAAGTTTGCTCCTTAATGTGTGTGTTTGTGCGTGTCAGGCTGCAAGAGACTACCAGGCTCTGAAGTCGTTCACCAAGGGGGGGATGAACATCACGGCCCTCTCCATCCAGCAGCTGAACAGCGAGGAGAAGAGCAGATTCGTGCAGAAGCTAAACAACGCCACCCACCCACTCATAAACAACACTTACGCAGAGGTACACAGCCCATACTCGCATGTCAACACCCCTTCTCTAGAATGTAGTGGCAAGTTAAGTGAAGTGAGTTGTCTGTTTGTTCATGCAGCTCCGATGTTGCTGGCGTATGACGCAGTGGCTGTTCTTCGTCAGGCATGGGCAGATGTGGTCGTTCAGATCCAGGACACTTCAGGGGGTAATGGTGGGGGGTCGAGTGGGGGCAGCTCCAGTCTGTCGCAGGAGTGCTACGGGAGGAACGGGAACCAGGGACCCCTGTGTCTGTTGTCGAACGAGAACTTGAAGCAGTTCTGCATGCAGCCCAGAGACAGGAAGCCCAGAGTGCAGAAGCTGATGGATCTGTTTATGCGTGCACTGAGACAAGTGCACATCAGTGGCGTCACCGGCAACATCCAGTTCGACTCCAGCGGCTTCCGGCGCAACCTGTCTCTGGAGCTGCATGAGATCTCCTTCATCTCGGAGGACAAACAGGTCAGTTGTCAGTTGTTCGTGATGGAGTAATCCTCCCTTCTTGTTGGATAGTGACAGATGGGCTGTGTGAGTTAAACAGACTGAGCATGAGTATGTTGAGTCTGTTGTGTTGTGCTGTGTTGTGTGTAGATTGGGAAGTGGAGTGACGAAGCGGAGGACTTCATCCTGGATGAGCCTAGTATGGGCATGAGTAGTGGACAGGACGTCCTCACCAGACACCTCATAGTCACATCCATCATAGTAAGCATCCTACAGTTACTCTTATCAACACACCATAGTGTACTAACACTCAATTGTCCAAAGGCAACTGTTTCGCTTGGTTTGCACTGCGAGTAGCTCAGAGTAAAAGTAAAAGGGCAAAAATCAGTTCCAAGTTGATCACGGTTGAAGAATGAATGATATCTCATGATGAGTGGTTGACATATTTTATTCTGAATTGACTTATTACATGTCGGAATGTATTGATTAACACGTATAGTTTGTGTTTGTGTGTGTATTGGAACCTGATCTAAACTACATTTTATGATTGGATAAATTAGATATTTTACCAATGTAAAGTATTTAATATTAACCAATCATGATCCATCTAACTAACAACCCACTTATTTGTAAGTGCTGAAGTTACTTGTAATTTCAGCACCAGAGAGATTTGAATTTAACTTAGAAATTAGTTGGACTCTCCCGAGCACTTCAGCAGCCGCAATAAACCAGTATACCCTAGATCTATTGAGCCTAGCAGAGACTAGTTAAACAACCTGAGACTAGATAGTATAAGAGTAAGATTAGGATCGGTATTAGACTAAGAAGTTGCACGAATCTATCCGGCCGAAAATAAGATAGCGTGACGAGCAGACGGTGTGCCCTATCCGAAATTACTCTATGAGTTATACACTCCAGTCCTAACTCAGTATGTGTATTGAACATGCGTGTTTAGGAGCCGCCGTTCCTCATGTTGAAGGAGCAGGACCCCTCGGAGGGGGTGTTGAGTGGCAATGGGCGCTTCGAGGGCTACTGCGTGGAGTTGGCCCAGATGCTGGCCAATGACCTGGACTTCAGCTACGAGATCAGACTCGTAGGCGACAACCAATACGGAAGTCTCGTCCAGGGCACCAATGGCACCTGGAACGGAATGATCGGCGAGGTCATGACTGGGGTCTGCACACACACACAAACACATATATATACACTCCTTATGATTTGTTACTTTCATTGTCCAAAAATATTGGCTAACTTTGAATAAATAAACCAGCTGGATTTTTCCTTTTGCCCCAATAATGAAAACTTTTTTCTAATTGAAGTTATATTTTGCCCGTTGCTCGTAATTTTTGTAATTTTTGTACTCAGCAGAGGTCTAAACCTTTGACTAATTAGGTGTCTTGTCTCCCAAGTATGTATAATATTGATAGTGATTAATTGGTTTGTTTTGCGTTGACTGTCTATAGACTGCACACCTGGCAATTGCACCCCTGACCATCAATGCAGACAGACAGCGGGTGGTGGCATTCACGAAGCCCTTCATGAACATAGGCATCTCCATCATGATCAAGCGGCCCCAGTCCAAACTGCCAGGCCCACTCTCCTTCCTCGACCCATTCTCAAACGAAGTAAAGCCAAGTAACATACTCTTTTCCCCCACCCCTACACCTCGTATCAACATCTAGTTACCAAAATAACTTGCTATAAGACAAAAAACTATTTGTTGTCATTTTGCTCTGAAATTATCTAACATCGTAGAAAAAAATATATTTTTCCAAACCCAAAAAGTTGAATCCCTAGCTTCAAACGAGAAACATAAACGTTGTTGTTGCTGTTGTTTTGATTGTTGTTGTTGTTGGAATGGTGGTTGTGTGGTTAAATTAGATCTGGTATGGGATCATCATCGCCTACTGTGGAGTGTCTCTGGGTCTGTTCTTCGTGGCCAGATTCAGTCCCATCGAGTGGCAGGACAAAGTGGCCTACAGGGAAGTGACCAGCACCACCACTCTGCCCCCCTCCTCCTCCGCCTCCCTCTCCCTCTCCTCCCCCTCCTCCCCCGCGTGCACTGTGACCAGTCAGCAGCAGCAGGCAGTCTACCTCAAACACAACGACTTCACCCTCAACAACTGCATGTGGTTCTCCCTGGGGGCACTCATGCAGCAGGGCACAGACATCGCCCCCAAGTGAGTGCTGTGCTATACTGTACTGCCGCTAACTCCGCTACTGAATCCCCCTACTCCCACATACATACATATACATGTATATCCAGTCACTCTCATCCTGAGAAAAAACAGCCCCGAGACTTGTGTGTGTGTGTGTGTGTGTGTGTGTGTGTGTGTGTGTGTGTATTCGTGTATACATGTCTGTAAAATGTGTGTAGGGCGCCTGCGTCTCGCATAGTGGGAGGAGTGTGGTGGTTCTTCACTCTGATCATCATCAGCAGCTACACTGCCAACCTGGCCGCCTTCCTCACGGTGGAGCGGATGGTCACTCCCATCAACAATGCGGACGAGTTGCCGGCCCAGAAGGAGATCAGCTACGGCACCCGCTCCTCCGGATCCACCAAACAGTTCTTCAACAACTCCCAGATAGAGGTGTTCAAGAAGATGTGGGACTACATGAGCTCAGCCACGCCCTCCGTGTTCGAGCCATCGGTCAGTCTTAGTCACTCTTTAATCCATATACATGCATCGTTTTTTCTAATCCTTGTGACTAACAAGACCTGTTTGCCTGTGTGCAGATATCGAACTTACTGTTTTCACATGTGTCTGGTAGTGTGTTGCGTGTTGCTCACTCGACTAGTGTGTGTTGAGTAGAATGAGGCTGGGATTGAGCGAGTGAGGAGTAGCAATGGGAAGTATGCCTTCCTGATTGAGAGTGCGATGAATGAGTACGTGCAGCAGCAGAAGCCATGTGACACCATGAAGGTCGGACCCAACCTAGACTCCAAGGGCTACGGCATAGCAGCCGCACACAACTCCCCCTGGGTGTGAGTAGAGCAATGCAGTAGTGCAGTACCACCCCACCCCTACTTCTAACCAGAACAGAACCCTATAGATTAGATAATAGATATTAGTTTTCAGCTCCTCTATTCCATTTTAGTGAGCTTTAAGTTGAAATCCAATCTTTTTAGTTTCATTCTCAGGTCATTCAAAAAAGTTATGATTCATTACTGAAAACTCATTCAATTTTGTTTTTTTTTGGTGCAAAATTTTTCATATGTTTCAACGCCAATTTATATTTTTATTATTGCTAAAATGTAAACATGATTAATATTTCATTTTTAAGCGTTGGACCTTAACTTTAGACTTTTAAAAGGAAGCTCTGATACCGAATAAAAATGTATAGAAAGCTTTACTTATCATAGGGATTTGGAGGTGTTTTAAGGTAATTAAAAATTTGCTTCCCAAATTTCATTGATAGTCAAGTAAACATGGCCTCCAGATCAGGAAGTGATAATAAATGAACTTATAGATTAGAGTGTGTTTTGCTTTGTGATGTGTAGAAAGAACATCACCCTGAAGATTCTGAAGTACCAGGAGGATGGGGCCCTGGAGAGGCTGAAGACTACGTGGTGGGTGGACAAGGGCGAGTGTGGGGGCTCCTTCTCCTCCACCTCCACAGACTCCACCAACTCCCTGGGACTGAGCAGTGTGGCCGGAATATTCTACATCCTCATATCCGGACTGGCCCTGGCCATGCTCAGTGCTGTGGCAGAGTACACTGTCAAGTCATGCAACCACAAACACCTCAACAGAAACAGAAACAACAGCCACACACTCTCCCCCTCGGACCAGCAGGGGCCACACAAGAACAGCGCCCATCATGTACATAATGTGAGTCAACACATTTCTACTAGTGATGCAAAACAAAACAGTCTTTCTTTTTTTCTGGGGTTGATTTTTTACAGGGATAAAAAACAACGGGTGATTTTACGGCACTAATGAAAATTCTCACCCACTGTTTGAGAGTAGGAATAAATTTGATCTACTCGAATAACTTACATTCCAGCTGAATTGGGAGTTGAATGCTAAAATGTAGGCAATGGGTTGCTGTCTGTTTTGTATGAGTAATTGTGGCTGGTGTGGTTTGTGTAGCGAGTGTCGTATGAGCCAGTTGCATGTGTGAATGAAGAGAGAGATGGGAAAGAGTATGGGATGATGAGTCCCCTGGCAACACTGGTGGGGGCACATAACACACCAGGATCGCATTCCTCCGCCACGCCCTACGCATTCATCACTCCCTCCCCCCACCACCATCACCACAGTCTCATCGGCGGCACCACTGTAGTCCCCACCCAGAACCCCACCCTAATGGGCCACATCGGATTCTCCCTCAACCCCCATGCACTCTCAGACGGGAACGGGACGGGGGCAACAGCAGCCATAGCCCCACACACCCTCACAGACTACAACACAAACTACGCCACCATGTACAGCGCCCCCTTCGGATCACAGGCCTACTTCCTCCAGCAGCAGCAGCAGCAGCAGCAGCAGCAGCAGCAGCAGCAGAACCCCCCGCCCTCCCTCAACCAGACAGGCGCAGCAGGAGGGGGAGGCACGATGCAACAACCCCAACCCCCCAGCTACAATATGCAACAGCAAGTCCCCGCCTTTTCCCTCGAGAGTGGTCAGAACTCCGGCAACCCCACCCTCCTAACCCTATCCCACTCCTCTGGACACCACCTCAAGTCCAGAAAATCAAACCACACTGATGTCTGAACCACACTAGTATCCTGTTCTATCTTATCAAGACTACTGAAACAAAACACCAACAGCACATCGATAAACAACAGCATCAAACAGCAAAGATTAAGCCAAGTTTGCGTTGAATATACCAGACAAGGAGATCATTTCATTCAAAGGAGTTGCATGTGCTGCATTTCAATATGTGTATTCTGCATAGATTCTAGATTATTACACGTCTTATTAAAGGGAACAGGGCCAATTTTTGCAATGACGGAGGGTTTTCGGCTAAAATACATTGGGCTCTCAAAAAAAGAAGAAGCCGTTTGTTTTGCCGTCAAAGCAGTTTCAATTTTTTTATTTGATCAGCTTCAATATATTGTGTAAATTAGAACCTGAAGGAAAACTGAGGTTAATTATGATATGCAATTTAAGTTGTTAAGAAGTTTTCCACCGAGATCTAGAAAATATTAAGTTTTCTATAAGGTGATTCGAACTGTCTACAGAAAACTATCGGCCGGGCTTACGTCTAATATGAAGCCATCTATGAAGCTACTGGGAGGATTTTTTTGTATAAACTGTTCAGACAGTCACTCATGGCTACTTGAGAATTGAGAAAGTGAGCTTCACCTGGACCGAAACTTTTGCATAAAATTTTTCATGAAAAGGGGCTGAATAAGCCCAGATTTTAGTATTCCTGAGCCAAGGACACCTGAACGAGTAAAAGTGTTACCGTATGCGGGCATCTTCTACAAATTTGTTCACTCCTGCGCTTATTCAGCTAAAAAACATCATGTTAGGTCTCAAAAGACATAAAATGCGTGATAACCAGTGAGAACTGGAAGCATTGCACACTGTTGCAATAGACGCCACAATTCAGAGGTCATTACGGATTTTGCACTTCAATTAAAAGTTAATCTACCGACTATATCTAAAAAGAAAGAATGTGAGGAGGGAACTGTTTCTCTGCCAATTAGCCATCAATTATAGAACGGGCTTCACTCACACATAGGTTTAATTTAAAAACATTCGCTTTTGTTTAGGGGTGCGGACTTTTCGAAAAATTGATCAGGCCCGAGTTTGGAGCCTCCTTTGAACTTGAAAACACTTCCTCATGAAGTCAATACTAAAACAAACTATACAGCAGAGAAACCCTAACAATTAAAACGAATCAATGCCTAGGAAACCGAATAGGGTAATTTTTCTTGGAAATAAAGTGAGAAAGAGAAAGTGGAGGTGCACTAAGGCTCCTTACGATCGGTTAGACAAACAATTGTGTCTTCAAGATAATTATCACCATATTGCAATCTCGGTTCAAACTGGACACAGTTTTGCTCCATATATTCATTGAAACCATATATTAAAAATCTTGATTGCTACCATCTTTTTGATCCACAAGCATCTGCTTAGCTTATTCATTATCGCATCCTCGCAAATGCCACAGAAGATGGATTGCAGAAAGAAAATCTCATTCTTTGTCTTAGTATCAAAATTTAAAAAAGTTCTTAACATAATTCAAAAAAAATTCATCCAATTGGCTAACGACCTAACTCAACAAATCTCAAAAACAACCCGCATATAGGAAAAAAGAAAACAAATCGATTACAAGACTGCTTGTATCAGGGCAAAGCCCTGAATGTTCTGAGTGCCTTTTAAGGTTTATGGAGCAGTGACAACATTAAAAAATTACGTGAAATAAAACAAAATGAAAGTTTTTTTTTTCTCTAAAATTTGTAATTTTTTATGAAAATCATCCCCCCACACGCCATATAAAGTACAAACGGATAAACTTTGCTCCTTGTAACAAATCAATTATGTGCAAATAAGCTTCTTTCAACCAATTTGGAACGATTTCTAAGAGGGATTAGCTCTCCGCTCACGCGTTAATAGCGCGAAGTATATCGCGCGTTAATTGTCCCACATTGGCCAAAATGGCAATTTTTAAACCCCGTAATTTTACAAAAAATGGTCACCGGTAAAATATCTTTTCCAGTTTGAGATATCAGGACAACAATACCTTTTGATTGATATAAAACAATTCCGTCAAAAATGGCTAGTTAAAAAACCGAAATTTGTCTGAAGAAAAAAAACCCACCCCGAGCACAAATAATCCTTTACTTTCATAATTAATAAATTTTTGTGTTCTAAAAACTTGTAAAAATAATTGATTCCCATTTTACATTCAGACAACGAAATTGGACTTAAATGGATTTAAATCCCTTTTTTCTCGCCAAAACAAAATGCATTATAATTCATTTGTAATCCATGATAATGGATTTCTATATAAGTTGGAAATCACATTAAAATGGATTTTAGTCCACTTTTTTTTTGTTTCGCGCGTCGGAAATTCAGCATTTATCAAGTGAGTTATGCGGAAGTTTTGCAAAGCGAATGTACGGCCTAATCCATTTCTAAACCTAAACTCAAATTGCAAAAAGATTCCGTTAAGCTCCCCCCCCCCTAGCATTTGCCTCTTTGCTCCCTTTCAATCCCCTAACGTTTTTCCTTTGCTCCTCTCCCTCCTCACTGAGCCCCCCTCCCAATTCACCTGAACCTGCCCTCCTCTTCCACCTGAAGCCACCCCCACCACTGAACCCCTCCCCCACCTGAACCCACTCCCTCCCCCACCTGAACCCACCCCACTGAATACAAAAACTAACAAAAATATCAAGTTAGGCAGAAAAAAATTAAATTGTACAACAAGTAACCAACGTAAACAATTTTAGTTTAAAATATAAAAAAAGACTTTGTGTGTTGAAATTAGCATCCCCATCTGAAATTAGTATCCCCACCTGAAATTGGTTGAAAGGAACAAATTTCAGTTTTTGAGTAAAATAAAAAGTTTATGGAGCAGTAATAACATTTAAAAAATTAAAAGAAATAAAACAAAATAAAATTTTTTTAAATAAAATTTGAATTTTTTTAAATAAAAATCATCCCCCACACGCCTTATAAAGTACAAACGGTTAAAATTTGCTCCTTGTAACAAATCAATTATGGCAAATAAGTTTCTTTCAACCAATTTGGAACGATTTCTAAGAGGGCTTAACTCTCCGCTTACGCGTTAAAAGCGCGAAATATATCGCGCGTTAATTGTCCCATATTGGCCAAAATGGCAATTTTTAAACCCCTGTAACTTTACAAAAATTGGTCACCGGTAAAATATCTTTTCAAGTTTGAGATCAGGACAACAATACCTTTTGATCGATATAAAACAAATCCGTCAAAAATAGCTAGTTAAAAAGTCGAAATTTGTCTGAAGAAAAAAACCCACCCCGAGACAAATTTTCCGTTACTTTTGTTATTAATGGATTTTCGTGTTCGAAAAAGTTGTAAAAACAATGGATTACCATTTTACGTTCAATCAACAAAATTGGACTAAAAATGGATTTAAATCCATTTTTTCTCGCCAAAACAAAATGCAATATAATTCATTTGGAATCCATGGTAATGGATTTTTACATAAGTTGAAATCACATTAAAATGGATTTTAGTCCACTTTATTCTTGTTTCGCGCGTCGTGCAAAATTTTGCAACAAATTCTAAATTTATCAAGTGAATTATGCAGAAACCACTCCCTCCCCCACTTGAACCCACCCCACTGAAAACACCCCCCTGAATACACTCCCTGAATAGAACCCCCCCTCCACTGAAGCCCCCTCCCCCCACCTTAACAAACCACCACCTGAACAGCCTCTCCTAAACCACTGCCTCCCCACCTGAACCCCCCCCCCCCACTGAACCCCCGGGGAGGTTTGTTGTAAATGGGCAAACGCTAGGGGTTAATGGAAGGGTGAATAGTCCACCTCCAACTTTATCCCCCCTACCAAAAAAACTTCTAATAATTTACCAAAAATGTTTAAAAAACAAATTTCAGTTTTTGAGTAATTTAAAAAGTAACAAAAATATCAAGTTAGGTTAGGCAGAAAAAAATAAATTGAACAACAAGTAACCAACGTAAACAATTTTAATTTAAAATATAGAAAAGACTTTATGTCTGTTGAAACTAGCATCCCCACCTGAAATTAGTATCCCCACCTGAAATTTGATGAAATGAACAAATTTCAGTTTTTGAGTAACAAAAAAAGAAACAAAAATATCAAGTTAGGCCGAAAAAAGTTAAATTGAACGACAAGTAACCAACGTAATCAATTTTAAGTTAAAATGTAGAAAAGACTTTATGTCTGTTGAAATTAGCATCCCAATCAAGTGGAAAAAAATTGTTTACAATTTATTTTCATTATCAGTGTCCACAAAATTGAAAAAAAATCGATTATAATGGATGAAAAAAGGATTTTGTTGCCTCGAAAAAAAGTAATAGAATAATTCATTTTTAATTGATTATAAGTGATTTGTTTCCGCTTTTGTGGACTTTGAAAAGGAAACTCAATTATAATCAATTTTAACTCATAAAACTCCAATGCAGGAAGGTTTGAATAGAAATTTATGCATGCCTACGCGTATCAGTTTTCGACTGCCTCTCAAGGAAAATGGAGCAGTAATAACAAGAAAAAATAAAATAAAAATAATTTTTTTTTATTTGAAACTTTTCGTAAAAATTATCCGCTTGCACGCCATGTAGCGTACAAAGTGAAAAATTTCACTAATAACGAATCAGTTTTGGCAAATAATCCTCTTCGAACCAATTTGCAACGATTTCTAAGACGGATTAAATTTCTGCTTACGCGTTAAGAGTGAAATATATCGCGCGTTAATTGACTCAAAATGACAAAAATGGCATTGTTTAGACCCCCATAACTTTGCAAAAAATGATCACAGGTAAAATTAATTTTTTTCAATTTTAAGCTGGGGACAACAATATTTATTTGATAAATTTTCGTCAAAATGGCTAGTTAAAAAGTCGGAGTTTGTCTGAAATAAAACCACCCCGAACACCAATATTCTGTTAATTTTGTTAGAAAAATCAGGCCATTAAGCTCCAACCATAAAATTATGTCATAACAAGCCTTTTGTACAGCCCAAAAAATTCATAGGAAAGATGAATCTACAAAAATTAGCGCAAAATTTAAAAAAAATAATTTTTGGCAAATATTTTGGGCTTAATATTGTGAAAATCGTCCCCCCACACGCCATATAAAAAACAAAGTGATAAATTTCGCTCGTTGTAACAAATCAGTTCTGGCAAATAAGCTTCTTTCAACCAATTTGGAACACTTTTTAGGCGGATTAAATCTCCGCTTACGCGTTAATAGCCCAAACTAGCCAAAATAGCAATCTTTAAACCCCCATAACTTTGCGAAAAAAAATCACAGGTAAAATATCTTTTCATTTTTAAGCCCAAGACAACAGTACCTTTTGAATTATATTCAAAAAATCCCGTCAAAAATGGCCAGTTAAAAAGTCGAAATTTGTCTGAGGAAAAAAACACTAAAACGGTTCAAATCATATGGCTCAAAACAACGGAAGGAAAAAGACTCAACTGTTGTTTTTTTGTACATCATTTAACTGTGTCTTACTCCTCAATTTTGAGCTAATTGATTTAATACGTTTTAGCGGTTTTATTTTGGCTTGAATATTCACAAAATGAATTGCATTGCTTAAATGCCGGTAAAAATCAAAGCAAATTTTATCATCATCTTTTTTTAACCGAAGATAACCGAATTTGAAAGAAAAGAGTACGAAAATTCGAGTCTGAGTTAGTTTTACCCGAGTATTTCAAATCAAGACTATAGAAATTTCTTCAGCGCACAATGCAATGAAATTTTCATTAACTGCAAAAGCGTTTGATTGGATCAATTGAGCAATCTCCCCCCCATTCTCGCGTGGGGGGGAGATAGCTCAATAGGTACTTGAGGCATGTTTATAACCACTTGAAAATAGTTTGAATGACATGAAATCATAAAACATATTTTCCAACGAATGTGGAAAGCCAAAATTTACGATGAAAAAGCTCTAAAGTTTCATTTAGATTGAAAAAAGAATCAATAAAACAAGCATAAAAAGCGACTTTTTTCTTTCTTAAAATGACAAAAAAACTTTTTGCGAACAATATTAAGGTGCTGCGGAGAACCGTTTTTGCTATTCAGATACAAGTCTAGAGCACCAGCGTTCTTCGATGAGGCTATGGTCGCCTAAACAAAATTTTGCAAAAAAAAAAACTTTGCAAAAAAAAAAATTTTGCAAAATTTTTCTCGATACTCATGTAAGATAAACTTCGTTCGGTCAATTGATTGCGTGCTATAAACAAATCATCCATCTACTTGCGTTTGCTGTTGTCTTTTTGTAGAGTTTATTCGTGTTTGCTGGGGGGGGGAGATAGCTCAATTGGTCATTACGGGGGGGAGATTGCTCAATTGATCCGTTTGATTTATCTTCAGAAATTGCTAAGACAATGAAGCCTCAAAAAAACTAAAAAACACCCGAACTTGGATTTACCATGAACTTGTCATATTAGAGAATTAGACTTTTCCAGGTTTCTGATAATATCATTCGGGTTCAGGAAACAGATCTGAAAATTTGGAAGTTTGCAAAAGCAACTGATTGGGGCGTCGAAATGGAAAAATCTAACAAAAACTGGGAAGAACTATCCAAACAAGAATTTGCAGATTTTATCCAGAGACTTTTGTCGCTTGGAAAGAGAGGAGTAAACAGAGAAAGTGAATTGAATCGCAAAAGATGTTGAATAAGCAGACATTTAGGTCAGTGATAAAAAGCAGAGACACCGTCTGATTCATAGAGCTCCTGCACACTTTTTGATTGCGACATGTTTGTTTCTATCTAAGCAAACTTATAAGGAATTGAGCTGAAGCGTCATCTGGACAAAGTGAGTGGGAGTATATATCTTCGCAAATTCAAATAATGCTTAAGTAATACTGGTGAAAATCTGTGAGAAAATAATAATTGTGAAATGAAAATATCAAGTTTGAGCTAACTTTCTCTATCTACCCTGCACATCTAACAAATAACAAATAACTACGTTTCAAATAATCAGATCAGTTTTTTCTTGATTATGGAGATTCTTTTGGAATGGAACGTTTCTTAATCAGCAGTTTGTGGGTGAGTCGCATCTCTTATTGAGTCTTTGTAGATTGACATTTGAGTCAGTTATTGTTGCCTGTGTGTGATTTCGAAGTTGTTGCTGCTTTTGCGACTGTGTGACTTTGAGTGCTTGTATGACCTCAGTGTGGTGTGGTTGGGTGTGGTCTGTCTATCTGCGCACTATGTCCTTCTGGGCCACTATTCTGGGGTTGGGTCCACAGTGGAGACACTTGCGCAAAGTGCCCTGTCTCAAAATAGCAGACACCACACTCCCCACCCCACCACCCCCACTCTCCTCACCCTCGCCCCCATTACCACCTCCCCCTTCCACAGTTGTACCAGCAGTGGGCACAGGGCAGCAGAAGGGAGGGTCCAGGGAGTCCACCACTACTTCCAACACCTGCTCCTCCGCCGCCATGATGAACCTAAATCATCAAGCGCATCAGAATCAATAAAAAACCACAATCGCAGCCAATGATTTCATGGCTCTTTCCCAATGAAAGTTCCCCCAGAAATGAATTTCCACCCATAATAGAAAAACCTTGCTATGGTGCGGCCATATATTTTGTTCCGACTTTTCGAAGATGAACTTTGATCAAGGTCGTTTTTTAGGCATGATCAATCTCATTTAGACTGCATAACATGAAATTTGACGAGAGGCTAGCCACCAAATTGGAGCGTTATTTAGCTATAGTTAGCAATAATTCTGGCAATTTTGTTCCAATTCATTTGCCGTACCTGAAAAATAACAGATAATTTAGACAAAAAGTAGAAAAAAAAAGTAGAAAGAGTTAATTCCGATATGGCCCCCAATCCAATGTGATCATCTGATCCTAGAGTACCTCTCGTAGTTAATCAGTCGACGCAGTCTCTTCTTCACAGCCCAATCGTCCGAACACTTTCCTCCCACAATGACTCGGTCGTTGAGGTTGTTTGTTGTGCTGAAAGACACAACCAGATTTGTGTATGTTTGTATGTCTCATTGAACTCAGAAAATAACAAAACTCAGCTATAGTTGCTTTAGAACAGTCTTATGGTGTAAAGCTTATTGTTCCGACTTTCGATAATAAAGAAACGGAATATTTGGGCTCGGGGTGGGTTTTTTTCTTCAAAAAAATAATATAAGTTATGGGGGTTTGGAGATTGGGATTTTGGCCAATTTGGGACTATTAACGCGCGATAAATTTCGCGCTATTACCGCGTTAGCGTAGATTTAATCCGTCTTAAAAATCGTTCCAACTGGTTGAAAGAAGCTTATTTGACATAATTGGTTTGTTACAAGGAGCGATGTCTATCCTTTCGTACCTAATAAGGCGTGTGGGATGAGTGGGATGAGTTTCACTGAAAAATTTCAAGTTTTTGAAATTTTTTTTTTTTTACAATGTATTTTTTAAGGTTATTACTGCTTCTGAAACCTTAAAAGGCAGTCGGAACACTCAAGGCTTCGCGCTGATACGAGCAGTCTTTTTTTTTACATTTATTGTTCGTAGCGAAAGTAATGGAATATTTGTGCTCGGGGTGGTTTTTTCTTCAGACAAGTTTCGACTTTTTCACTAGCCATTTTTCACGGAATTTTTTAACATCATCCAAACATCATTCGAATTTATTGCTGTCCTGATCTTAAGTTTAAAAAGGTGTTTTACCTATGATCCTTTTTCGTAAAATGTAGGGGTTTCAAGATAATCATTTTGGTCAATTTCGTACAATTAACGCACGATATATTTCGCGCAATTAACGCGTAAGCGGAGATTTAAACCGTCGTAGAAATCAATCTCAATGGGTTAAAGGAAGCTTATTTGCCAAAACGGATTCGTTATTAGAAGCGAAATCTATTATTTTGTGCTTATTTGGCGTGTGGTAGGATATTTTTAACAAAAAGTCTGCTTTTATCAATCATAAAAACAAGACTGCTCGTATCAAGGCGAGCCCTGAATGTTCCTCTTTTAAGGTCTATGGAATGGAGCAGTATAACATGAAATAATTAAATGTAATAAAATCAATTGAGATTTTTTTATAAAAACATCCCCCCACACGCCATTTTAAGTACAAAGTGATAAATTTTGCTTCTATTAACACAGCAATTATGGCACATAGGTTTCCTTGAACCAATTTGAAACAATTTCTAAGACGGATTCAATTTCCGCTTTCGCGTTATTAGCGCGAAATATATCGCGCGTTAATTGTCCAAAATTGATCAAAATGGCATCGTTAAACCCCCATTACTTTACAAAAAATGATCACAGGTAAAATATCTTTTCATATTTAAGCTCAAAACAGCAATAGCTTTTGAATGATAAAAAATCTGCCAAAAATGGCTAGTTAAAAAGTCAAAATTTGTCTGCAGAAAAAAAACCCACCCGAGCACAAATAGAAGTTTAGGGCAAAAACTTGACTGTTCTGATTGCTCCTTGAAGCTCTTTTGATTCAAAAAAAGCAATAAAATCATTTAAAAAAGGAAAAAATAAGCGACTCGTTTTTTTTCTTCGTTTGATCCTCGCGCAAACTATCTGTAATACATAAGGATGTTTTAGCATCTTTTTTTTGTAAAATTATGACCAGTCGTGTCAAATCTTAGGCATCCCAGACAAATTCCTTTTCTATAATTTTAGTCAAAAGGCCTAGAATTTCACATATAAAATCATCCCAGTCATAATCTTCCGCCATTTTATTCATCCTGAAGCTAGATATTGCATATGTGTTAAGACTTATCATTGTAAGCAATTGTTGCGTCTATTCATGAGGATGAGTTTAATACAACATATTAAAAAGGGAGCAATACCATTAATATATCATGAAAGGTTAAAATAAGGCAAGTAGTTAATTGGCAGCTAAAAATGCTATTTTGGTCCAATAAACCTTGTTTCGAATATTTTCCTTATTTTGTCATAGAATCCATTTTTATGGCAAAATGGAACAGTCAAGAAAGGATAACAAGAGTGCTCGTATCAGGGCGAAGCCCTGAATGCTCCGACTGCCCCTAAGGTTTATGGAGCAGTAATAACATAAAAAACATTAAAAAAATAAATGAAATAAAAAAAAACGAATTTGTTTTTCTAAATTTAATTTTTTTTCTATGAAAATTATCACCGCACAAGCCGAATACAGTAAAAAACAATAGATTTCGCTCCTTGAAACAAATCAGTTATGGCAAATAAGCTTTTCTCAACCAATTTGGAGCGATTTCTAGGACTGATTAAATCTTCGCTTACGCGTTAATAGCGCGAATTAGGTCGCGCGTTAATTGTCCCTAAATGACCAAAATGACAATCTTTAAACCCCCACGACTTTACCGAAAAAAATCACACGTAAAATATCATTTCAAATGTAAGCTCAGAACAACGATACCTTTTGAATGATAAAAAAACTTCCGTCAAAACTGGCTAGTTAAAAAGTCGAATTTTGTCTAAAAAAAAACCACCCGAGCTCAAGTATTCCGTTACTTTCATATCCAAAGTCGGAAAAACAAGACTGCTCGTATCATGGTGAAGCCATGAATGTTCCGACTGCATTTTAACGTTTATGGAGCAGTAATAACATTTAAAAAGTTAAATTTATTCGTAAAAATGATTTTTTTTTTCAAATTTGAAATTTTTATGAAAGTCATCCCTCCACACGCCATATAAAGTACAAAAGGACAGATTTTGCTCCTAGTAATAAATCAATTATGGCAAATAAATTTCTTTCCACCGGTTTGCAACGATTTCTAAGACGGATTAAATCTACGCGTACGCGTTAATAGCGCGAAATATATCCAGCGCTAATTGTCCCAAATTGGCCAATATGGCAATCTTTAAACCGCCGTAACAATACAAAAAATGATCACAGGTGAAATATCTTTTGAAATTTGAGCTCAGGATTAACCTTGCAACAATCCGGTGTCGTGAAAAATGTAATATATTGACTCTGCCTGCAGTTTAGTCCCAGCCTCAAAACCTTTTGATGGGACGCTAGTTGTTTGGCAGCAGGGATCCTAGCAACTTTATTAGTATAACGTTAGCCAGTTTGTCATGTTTTTTAATCGATGAAATTGAAACGCTGCCAAATTGTTTTCCCATTCACGGATGCATTGCTTGCCTTCTTGTCTTTCATTTATTCTTAATTTTAGTCTAGCTCGTTTTTGTTTTGATATCAAAATAGTTGCTCAGAATTGGTCATTTTTTCAAAAGAAAGTTATTTTACAGCGAAAATCTTAGCTTTCATTATTTGCATGAGTGATTTCGTAGATTGAAAGACGTGTTTTTTTTTTAATTTTTCCTTGATTTAAATGGCTTCAAAATAAAACATTTTGCCTGGATTGGCTTTGTCTTGGAATATATATTTTGTCTATGACTTTATCTGAGACATGTTTTTTTTCTGGAAAGGTTTTGACTGTCCACCCTCATTTCAATTGGGAATACAAAAACACAAAATATTGAAACCCAAAATATTTTCAAACCCCCGCAATTTTACGAAACCTAATCACAGGTTTTTAAAAAAAGATTTAAGGCTGAGCACAAGACAACGACAATTTTCAATTGAAAAAAAAAGCAAACATAAATTTCTAGCTAATTTTTTTTTCAAAAGTGGGAACATTAATTTTTTTCAGGCGTACAATCGGAAAAAGTACAAATTACAACCCGATCATAAGCCTGGAGAGAACGTCATTAGACCTTAATGTTAAATAGTGAGAAAACTAAACTACAGGGTCAAACAGTCATATAGAAACATGGAAAAATAGATAGGCATTGCGCTGCTGACGAAAAGTTTAATTATGAAGTTGACGATTTAGTAAAGTATATTTTGCAGAAAAACACCGCTGCCGAATCAGGTAAATAAGAGAAGATATTACAGCGAACTATCTGAAACAGCTTGAAGGTGAAAGAGACACTCGCATTGTCCAATAGATAGAACCGATGGTTTTTATTGGCTAGAATTTAATGGTCTTAGCTCGTCTGCTCATTTGTTGACTGTGTATTTGAACCAGCCAAGTTTTGCGTCATTTGTGTTAGAAACTTAATTCAATTTTGTAACTATTACATGTTTTCGTGAGGATCATGCAAATGATCAAAATGATGGCTGCTTTTTTATAAATAACTGAAAAGTATCTGACCTGATGCTATCTGTTGAGGTGTTGTTGCGTTTAGTTGTGCTGTCGTGCAGTCTGTCATATTTGGCTGTTTGTGTAGTTGTTGATCCATTCAGGTGTCCTTTTTTGTTAAGCTTACTTGTGCAGCTGCTGCTCATGTTGGTCCCCACCCCATTTTTCAGTTGAGTCGCCGTGAAATGTGAGGGTGGGGCTGTGCTGATGTTGTTGTTGCTGTTGTTGTTGATGTTAGTGCAGATTGTGTCGAGGCCTGTGGGTGGGACGATGGGGATCATGTGGTCATCTGATGCAAGAGGGGTTGGGTGTGGCAATTGTTGCTGTTTGTTTGTGTTGTTTAGGTTGTAGACTATCACTAGTGGCAGTATGCGTGCCAGCTGCTCGTAGCACTCCTCCTCCACCCCGTCTCGAACACTGTTATCACCACTGTTCGCGTCCCTCTTGTCTACAAAGTCGAACACGCTTTACCTCTTCTCAAAATTATCCCAATACAAAGTCTGGGACAACAAGCCAACGAGACTTAGGCCGAAGAGATTTCAAGCCGAACTTTGAAAATTTTCCAAAATTTTAAGGACACTAAAATTGATCCTTGTAACCTTAGGTGATAAAAACTGGCATCCGGCCGGATTGGCATCATGATAGTGATGTACATATATACATATTTATAACTATTGATATAATTTAAAATACAGGTCAACTGACCTTGAGAGCTACGGCGAGTCCGTGCGGCTAGGAGCGTACGGTGTGCAGATTTGAGAAATGAATTATGTTTCAGTTAACTTCTATTTTCTTATTGAGATACCACCTCAGCCGCCAATCCGTACGGTTTCAATAAAGATCATATTCCACGGTATGGCATTACGCAGCCAGCAGGATACAGAAACCAGCAGAGCATTCAACCGTTCTGGCGGAAGGCAATGGCGGAATCGCCTATGGAATAGGGAAAATGGACATAGAAAAGCGTATTGTTCTTCGTGCAAAATCACATGTCATAGAAGCAAAGGAACCAATTTCTGAAATAGAAATTACCGGTGAAACCGAGGCGGAAAAACAAAAACGAGACATACGAAACCAGGAAAAAAAGTCAACTGGGAAAATCAAACAACAAGAGTTCCAGAACGAAGACCAACGTGCAACAATTTCACGTGGGACGAAGCAGATGAGAAGGTGAGAAGTTATATCTTTTTGTGTCTAGTGGCAGAAGGTCAAAGGCATCTATAACACAAACGCCTGGACTCGAGATACATGCAATATCATTTAAAGAGTAGATCCAGATATTGGAAAACATTTGTCACAACGAGGATATTTGCATTCGAAAGAAACAAAATCATCTGCCGAAAACAACGGAAGAATGAATCCTTAGAACAATTCCATGCGGGTTTAGTAGAGCTAGCGGCACGGCCGACTGCGGTAACAGAGAGGACGAACGGGTCCGCGACATGTTCACTGCACATATGACAAATGAGAAAATCACTGAAGAACTACTAGCAGATGAAAGGTAATCACAAAGAGCCTATGAATACGCGATGAGAGGAGAAAAAGGAAGAGAACACAATAGGACCATAAAAACCAATCCATTCGGTCCAACAAACTCACCGACTAGTAAACAAGAACCCATAGGATACATACAGCCACGCGGACGTCAGTCTGACATTACATGGAGAGGAGAGTCGGACCGAAAGGAGAGCCTCTTCGATCCCAGATGACACCGAAGAAAGACAACAACAACAACATATGGAAAATTGACATCCTCCTACCTAGATTTTTCATCGAGCCCTAATAACATCAGAGACGCCAAGGAGACAAAACAACAATCCAGCTGAGGAAGACATTTCTTGAAGATAATATCTCGGATACTAGCCCAACACAGAGCGAGATTCGTGCTTCAACGCCCAAATGACTAGCAGCGCAAAGGCAATCACCACCGTGACCATGACCCAAACACAGACGCAGTTGGCGCGAATACAGTCTCAGACCGAATCAATCAATAGGTGGAGTCACAGTGGGACTGGACGGTCGAACTCAACGATCAATATGAATATTGCGTCAGGCGAGCTGATCCCACAACCTATTAAAGAAAGGACATATTTTCTAATGAGCCACCACCGACAATGACCAGCAACGCTCAACAACTAGAGGCAAGCCATAAGACGACCATGTCGGGGATAGTTGCCACAAAGGACCAAGCCACAGCAACTTCAGATATAATAGAAGTTACGCCTCTGGAACGGGAGCAACCTACAAAGGTATTGGGAATTGCAATCATTACCACAGCGACCCGCAAGGACAGGAAAATAAAGCCAATCGTAAATTTTGTTAAAAAGCGAGGTTGGGACTCTCTCAAGCTAGCTTACGGGGACTACTGGTATAACTTCCAAAACCGCCTACTTGTGAAGGAGGACTGTTTTTTGCTGCACGAGCGCATCATCATCCCGCAACAGCTTAGACAAACAATTCTGGACAGTCTCCACCTCACACACTCGGGCGCTGCCGCGATGCTCGATCTATGCGAGAACATTTGGTTCCCCAACATTCACCGGATCCTTGTCCAAATGGGCTTGAACAGCAGACACTGCACAGAGCGAGGCGAAAACTTAAAATCAACTTTGGGAAAAGACAATAGAATCAGTAGTCGAACCAAACGGAAAAATACAGACCGATTTTGCCAGGCCATCCCGGGTAAACCAAATAAAGACTCTTACATCCTGGTCGCAATAGATAAATAGTCCAAATTCCCAACAGCTATGGTAGTTTCAAAAACAATGGCCAATAAATCTTATGCAAACATTTGTTTCAAACAATGGGTTAACGCGAAAAATTAGATGCGATCAGGCACAAACATTTCGGGCGAAAATGTTTCAAAATTTCTGCAAATCAAATAACCTTAAACTTCTTTTTGCACCAGTAGACGATCGTAGATCTATTGGAGTTCTTGAACGTTTGGATTGTTGAACGGGCAATCCAAACATTATAACGCAGATTGGGGGTTATGATTAATGACCACACAAAACCGTTCAAACTGGCGTCCAAGGGGGCAGAAAAAAATAAAAATTTAATAGTTTCTCCGCACGGAACCACAAAAATTATTCCCTTCGAAGCCCATATGGGCCAAACTTCTTTTTGCACCAGTAGACGATCGTAGATCTATTGGAGTTCTTGAACGTTTGGATTGTTGAACGGGCAATCCAAACATTATAACGCAGATTGGGGGTTATGATTAATGACCACACAAAACCGTTCAAACTGGCGTCCAAGGGGGCAGAAAAAAATAAAAATTTAATAGTTTCTCCGCACGGAACCACAAAAATTATTCCCTTCGAAGCCCATATGGGCCAAAAATTTATACACCACTTTCAAATATAGCAGCAACTAATTCTCAAATAATTTGAATTGGTAAAACGCAAAACACAATTGTTTACATCGAAAAAATTAATGTACCCTCAACTGCCACTAGAAGTATTGCGCGATTTGCATTGCTGGTCGGAGAGCGAAGTAAGAGTCTAGAGGAAACCACTTCAAAAACTACCAGAACCAACAAATGCCAAATTCCACAGAGAAACGAGAACGTCTTCATGTCCAAGCAAACAGGTGTGAGAACTGGGTTTTCATTAGCTAGGAAAAAAGAAGCACTAAAATCAAAGTTCAAAGGAATACAAGCACAACTTGATCCAAACACAAAAAATAATTAGAACAGCTAGCCAGAAAAACAATAAGATTCATAACAAAAATAGAAAAAAATTCAAAACTATTTGAACAAAAGTACAAAATCATAGATGGAAAATTTGTAACCTACACACTACATAGAGCCTGGGTACAAATAAAAGGGAAACAACCTCGGTTATTAGGAGATAGCCCCACTTGTCCATGGGCAGTGCAGACCTTCACGATTAAACGATTACGTTGCTTACAAATCAGCAAGACGAACAGGTCCACGTTTACGTTCTTTAGATATCGAACAGAAGACAAACGCGCCCCGGCACCCAACGTTCAAAGATGATAAAAAACGGGCCTATCTAAACGACTGTCCCGGGACGAGATGTAGGAAAGAAAAAGTGCGGAACCAGAACCATAAAGAAGAACCCCCAACAGGAAACAAGATCCGTAGGAAAACCAGCCCCAAAACAACGAAGAGGCTTGATGTTCCGGAATGGCGACAAAAAAAATCGACGTTTCCGACATCAGCAAGCGATGACGCCCCCACAAACATCTCAACCACAAAAAAACACCAATAGAGGTTACCAGAAATCCAACCCGAAGTCGACACGCAACCTTGGCTAATGCCTTTGGAAACCCTATTACTACAAACAAGGTGGACCAAAAAAAGTGTCAAATCGGTGGGAAAACAATTCGAGAAGCTTTATACACGAAATGGGTTTTAAAGAAAACTCTCCCCAGAATTCATTGTCTGCATCCGTTTCCCAGAAACAATCAAGCCTAGTGTTTCAGGAGGAACGTAAGACGCGGTCAAAGTAGTACATCTCCTATCATCGACCGACAGCCCAAACAACGAAGCGATGAGAATAAACGAAAAGAACGTTGAGGTTGCGAAAGAATCCAGTACACTGGTGATCAACGAACAGGCCAACACTACCGAAGAATATGAAAAGCAAGGCGACGAGGAAATAGTGAACGACGAACTCATCAATAGCACCAACAAAGGCACAAACACAACGGATCAATCATTCTAAGGAATACAAGAGCCCATAAAAGGGAAGTGATGAACAAAATTCACAAAAAAAGAATTCAAAAAGTCTTATCTGAGCTCAAACAGCCCCACAGGGACAACAAACTCAATTCAATTCATTTTGTTCCGAGGGGGAATGTCATCCGGCCGGATTGGCATCATGATAGTGATGTACATATATACATGTTTATAACTGTTTGAATAATTTATATTACAGATCAACTGACCTTGAGGGCTTCGGCCAGTCTGTACGGCTAGGAGCACAGTGTGTGCAGATTTGAGAAAAGATTATGTTTCAGTTAACTTCTTTTTTCTTATTGAGTTACCAGCTTAGCCGCCAACCCTTACGGATTCAATAAAGATCATATTACACGGTATGACAAAAACTAAGCTTGCTTAACCCAAACTGAATGCTGTTTGTAACTATTAAAAAGATGAATTTGAAAACAAAGTAGAATTTTTTTCCGATTTCATAACTTTATAAGAAAATTTTTGGCGTAAAGTCCCTATTCTTACAATCCGGTTTGAAATATTGTCGGCTTGTTGACTGGCACCCATGTTTGGCTATCTGTTCTTGTCTCGTTTAGTTTTACCGGGTCTTTTTACTTATTCCGCCCAAAGTTTATCTTTCCACATTTAAAATTGAAACTAGTTTTCTCGAATCTGATTGGCTAGACTTAGCCAATTTTTTTCAGCGCCAGCTTGAAATTTTGTGTTCAAATTTTAAATTAGATATATAAATTAGGCGACCATATCAAAGTAAAGGGGCTGATTTTCTCGAGGGGGCTGATTTTCAAAAACTTTTGAAATTTCGTCAATCTTTTTTATAGGTCGACCAAAGTCTTATCATTAAAAAGAGGTTTTAAGGGACTATTTGGGTAGTTTTGACCAAAAAATTGTGTTTTTGGCGTACGCTCCCCCTCAAAGGTTTTCTTTATTGGTGCCAAAAGCGCGCTTAGAAAACTTATAGGTTCAGCCAGGCAAAATCGAGCGTCTTAAAATAGTACAAGGAGGACTCATTGAGTAGTCAGGAGGTCAAATCCTTTAGGAAAGCGACCGCCTCTTTCCTAAATCCGCTACTGCCAAAAAATTAAATTGTTTAGAAAAACATTTTGCCCGGAACACAAAAAAAAACACATCACATCGTTTCCAACTTCGGTTTTGATGGAAATCGGCCAAAGAAAAAATTAACGTTATTGTCAACCCTAATTAGTAAACATTGTTATGGTGACCAGTCAATGAGCAGAATGATCTAAAAGCAGAAAGGGTGTAGGAGGAGAAAAACAGTTAAATATTGGTTTTTACGGGCTAATCGCTAAAATCAATTATTTCCTACCGATGAAAAGAATGAATAATGCATTATTTGAGTAATGTTGTCGAGTTTTTTTTTGTTGATTTTTTTTGAAAATATTGCTCATATTACTCAAATTGTGCGTAATCTATTAATTTTTCTTGGGTTAGATTGACAATTCTGATATTTGTTTTTACCGATTCGCTTATAAAAGTTAATATTTCTCTGTTTTTCTGCTCTTGAACCCATTCTACTATTAGATCGTTCTGCTCATTGCTCCGCCTCCTATTGTTATTAGCCAATCGAGCGCGACTCGGGCTTTGATCTCTGCTTTATATTGAATTAGCAAATTTACAAAAACTGAGCGGTATAAATAAAAAGGGAGGCAGGACAAGAAGCCGACTTTGAGTCGAATTGTAAAACTAGGGACTTCAAGCCACAAATTTTGTCAAAAAAAGATAAATTGTGATTATTACAGATCCTGTTTCGAATAATTGCTCAATTTCATGAACTTTCTTTACAAGTTATTGGATTTTTTCAAAAGTTTGAGCATCTAAATGATGTTTATCAGTATTAAAAATTAAAACTTTGTTGAAAGAACTTTCAGGTTTATAAATTATGCATTTCAAATCCGGCCGATTTAGACATCTGATACCATTCTTAAGTGGTGCAATGTTATGGAAAACGCATATTATGAACTGAACTTGCCTAACTTTCTGAAAAAAAAATAATTTAAAGATGAGATAAAGCGTGTTTTGAGGTGCTTGTAAAATTTCTATTTTGGCCTGAAGTCCCGTCGGCTCGTTGTCTTAGGACCACTTTTTAAATTTATAGATATTTTAAGCAGCAACAATATATACAAAATTGCTCGTATCAGGGCGAAGCCCTGAATGTTCCGACTGCATTTTAAGCTTTTATGGAGCAGAAATAACATCAAAAAATTAAATGTAATAAAAATAAAATTAAAATTTTGTTTTTTCTAAAATTTGAAATTTTCAATGAAAATCATCACCCCACACGCCATATAAAGTACAAAAGGATAGACTTCGCTCCTTGTAACAAATCAATTATGGCAAATAAGCTTCTTTCAACCAATTTGGAACGATTTTTCTTCGGATTGACTCTCCGCTTACGCGTTAATAGCGCGAATTATATTGCGCGTTAATTGTCCCGAACTGGCCAAAATGGCAATCTTTAAATCCTCATAACTTTACGAGAGGTTCAGGTGGGGGAGGCAGTGGTTTAGGAGGGGCTGTTCATGTGGTGGTTTGCTAAAGTGGGGGGGGGTTTGTTCGAGTGGGGGTTCAGTGGGGGGGGGGGGTTTATTCAGGGTGTGTATTCAGGGGGGTGTTTTCAGTGGGGTGGATTCAGGTGGGTGAAGGAGTGGGTTCAGTGGTATTCAGGGGGGTGTATTCAGGGGGGTGTATTCAGTGGGGTGGGTTCAGGTGGGGGAGGGATTTGTTTCCGCATAATTCACTTGATAAATGCAAAATTTCTTGCAAAATTTTGCACGACGCGCGAAACAAGAATAAAGTTGACTAAAATCCATTTTAATGTGATTTCAACTTATGTAATAATCCATTACCATGGATTCCAAATGAATTATAATGCATTTTGTTTTGGCGAGAAAAAATGGATTTAAATCCATTTTTAGTCCAATTTTGTTGTCTGAACGTAAAATGGTAATCCATCATTTTAACAACTTTTTAGAACACGAAAATCCATTTACTACAAGAGTAACGGAATATTTGTGCTCGGGGTATGGGTTTTTTTTTCAGACAAATTTCGACTTTTCAACTAGCAATTTTTGACGGAATTTTTTTTATATCATTCAAAAGCTAGTGTTGTCCTGAGCTTAAATTTGAAAAGTTATTTCACCTGTGATCATTTTTCGTAAAGTTATGAGGGTTTAAAGATTGCCATTTTGGGCATTTTGACCAATTTGGGACAATTAACGCGCGATATAATTCGCGCTATTAACGCATAAGCGGAGATTTAATCCGTCTTATAAATTGTTCCAAATTGGTTGAACGAAGCTTATTTGCCATAATTGATTTGTTACAAGGAACAAAATCTCTCTTTTTGTACTTTAAATGGCGTGTGGGGTGATGATTTTCTTAAAAAATTTTAAATTTAAGAAAAAAATTTCATTTTTTTAAATTTAATTTAATTTTTTTTATGTTGTTACTGCTGCTCCATAAACCTTAAAAGGCAGTCGGAACACTCAGGGCTTCGCCCTGATACGAGCAGTCTTGTTTGCCATATATGATTTGTTACAGGGAACGAAATCTATCTTTTTGTACTTTATATGGCGTGTGGGGGGATGATTTTCATAAAAAATTTCAAATTTTAAAAAAAAAATTTCATTTTGTTTTATTTCATTTATTTTTTTATTTTATTACTGCTGCTCCGTAAACCTTAAAAGGCAGTCGGAACATTCAGGGCTTCGCCCTGATACGAGCAGTCTTGTTATGATACCAACTTGACTACATACGAGTTTTCTTGGAGATATCTAAACTCCTGCTGTATAAAAACAGGCTTAGTCATTGTGTCTGAGTAGCCCGTTACGTGGGAGGTCAAAACCACTAGCAGGCTTTTTATAATGAAAGTTTTTATATTGAAATCAGGAATAAAACGTTTCTAGGGACAGATATTTAAGCATGGACAATTTCCAATTCAAGTTGTTTTATTCTGGTTGTTTTGCAAAATAAAACGACATATTTTGAGAAACTATTGTATCAATTTGGCCAAATTAGATTAACTTTAAACCCCCATAATGTCAAAGAGGAATGTTTTTTTTTCTTGAAATTGAGCGCAGAAAACCATAACTTTTTAGATTGCGTAAACAAAATCCGCCAGAAATGTAAGGAGAAAAAAACACCCCGAATAGCACGTCTTTTTTGTCGAATGTTGGAACAATAAGTTTGGAGAAAATAACTGCCGCATAAATCCAAATGGGCCTATTTAGCGTCTGTACTAATCATAAGATCAAATGGATTCATTTTGGAAATCATTAATCCACCGCTTATGCGTGTTAAAAAAACGCAATGTATCGCAGCGTTAATCTCCACAAATTTGCGAATATTGCAATTTTTAAGCCCACAAAACTTTACAAAAATGAGAGCTGATTATCAAAGCAAAGAGGCGACGCGCGCACAGCGAATCCACAGGCGACCTTAAACCGGACTGCTTTGTATTGGACCGTTTTTGTTCGTTTTATGTTTTTTTTTGTATTGGTATGTTTTGTATGGGAATGATTTGCATGTGCACTCTTTTCGGATGATGATATAATAAAACTCACTCTGTCAAAAACTTCTAAATAAAAATTCGGAAATTGGCTGAATAAAAAAATTACCACCCCAATCATAACTATTCTGCTTTTTTCCGAAAGTAGGAACAAAACAATTAAACTGTATATACGAAAAAAGTAGAACATTTCATATTGACTGGGGTATTTTTTCCCTCGAAATTGAGGGAAGGATTATTTGCGGACTGGAACCTTTGGCAAAAGAGACACCAGGCAAACATTTTTCGTGCAAACGTAATCAATCTGCTATTGCAATTTTTTTAACGATAGTTTTACTTGGTAAACGACTACGCCCCTTTTATGGGCATAAATGGTTAAAGAGTAAGGTCAGTCTGTGGTCCTCAAACTTAGATTTTTTGGAGCTGCAGCCTTCAATGAGGCTTTAGAGTACGAAACTCAAAGCAAGGAACATTTGTTGAGAGATATAAAACTGGAGGAACATTTTCCCTCATATATTCTAAAGAAGCATTCAGGCAACTGAAAGGACACACAAATGAATAAAATTATCATCTGAGTCTGTAAATGCTGTTAATTTGTACGAAGAGAAAGTTCGTTGACATTGGCATGAAAAAATACTGCGTCTGTAAGAATAGTTTTTTGTAATATGTGTGAATAAAAGAACTTGAGGTGAGTACCTGTTTGGGATGCATCCACGAATACCACAGCACAGTCCAGATTATCCCTCAACTTCCACACTGCCCCTCCCCCTCCCCCACCCCCAGTGGATGTCTTGGCAGTGGTGCCCCTTGTAGTGGAGGGTGGGGCATACTCAGTTCTGTGGTCACGCTCTTTCATCCTGTCCAACTCCACCAGGTGTAACTGCAGTACATGGAATGACACTACTGACTTAATCAACTCATCCAATCACTTACAGATAAATGTGACTAGTGGGTGAGGGAATCTGCCAACCACACCAAACTCAACACTATCCTGCTATGACACTGTCACTTCTATTCTCTCTTACAGTGGAGTGACTTAGAGTGTGCTTCAAGTCATTGTACAGGGCGAGTGTAGTTAGATTGAGTACGAGTGTAGCATATGTGTACATGTGTAAATGTGTATGTATGTGAGTAAGTATGGTTGACCTTGACAGCTTTGTGTTGCCAGTGGTAGTCGGAGTGTCCGAGCAGCTGTCGCTTGTAGACCAAGTCCACACTGTCCCTGTCACTCAGCCGCACACTCACACTCCCCCCACCACTTCCCCCACCACCGCCACTGCTGCTACTCACACAGGATGCAGGGGGGTGAGAAGGATGAGGCGGCGGGACAGATCCAGTGTGGGAGGGGGTGCCGGTGTGGAGGGAGTCACTCGTCGACTCCGAGTCCTAAGCGGGGGAACAGAATCAACTAATCAGTCTTCTCCGCCAATAGATATACCCAAAAACTCTTAACTGCGATGAACAATACTAAACAACGAGCCTGATTGAACTAAGTCTTAATCGTGGCCCCACCGTGAGCGACTTTTTCAAAAGCCCATCCACAATTGCTACCGCACTACTTGACACTTGACTGACCCTATCCCTGAGCAGTGGGAGTCTGTCGGCTGCATGATTCAGTTGGGATTGTGGGCGTGCCGGCTGGTTGGAGTAGAGGGTCGCACAGGCCTGTCTGAATTGAGTCCTGCCGGATGAGGGGGATCCCAACAGCAGAGCCCTCACAGTCCCCACCGACCCACTGCCACTGCCACTGCCGCTGCCCTCCTGCTGCTGCAGACCACCCATTCCTCCGCCCCAGTCGCCCAACACTTTCTCCAGGCTACTCATGATCCGACCTATACGCAAAAAACCCAGATATCAGACCTGCTATAACAATCAAAAAGAAGTACTTAGTTATTCAGAATTTGGATTACCAGCTTTCTAAAAGATTCTCTAAAAGCATATGTACTTAACGCTATTAGCCCATTCTTGAACCACTAGCCAAATTTGAGTTCCAGCTTGAAAAATTTACATAGAAAAGCTTTTTTGTTCAATTGTTTTTAGCTCGACCAAATTAATTTTCTGCGCACTCGCAAATCACTAATTCGACAAATCTTTCGGAGCAGCAGGCAAACTTTAGAAAAAGAACAAACAGAACAATACAGCGTTTTAAGGGAGCTTTTGGAAAAAGTTGACAAAAAAATAGAGTCTTTTTGGCGCGCGCTCCCACCTGAAAATCATTATATAAGAGGTGGCTAATACATTGGCAAAATCTGTGAATAAAATACACTGACAAAATCACGGTTGCAATACTAGCTCTTGCTAATGAGAAGAATCGAATGGAATAGTTCCCACCCGCACTGAGGTTACATGGTTAATAATCAATTGCAATCGATTTTCCGATTCAAAAATGATGCACTTGTAATGGACGAGGATAACATTTTGGGACCACGCAAGCGATTATAACCATCACAATTCGCTGTTTTCAAGGAATTTAAATCGATTACAGTCTTGTTTACATTCCTTTGTTATAGATTACAATGGATCGAATTCTGTATAAGTAATTTCCAAAATTGTGTGCAAATTGTGAGCAAAGTTTGCAGCTTTTTCTGCTTACTCAACTCATATTGGATTTATTTTGGAAAACAATCTCCATAGCATTTGTCCACATTTAACCCTGCCCAACTCCAACCCGCACTCAGAAAAAAGAGAAAATAATCGATTATATAACAATTAAAATTGTTTTTTTTTTTTTAAATCAGAATTGTAATTAATTAAAAGCGCCAAACGCCAAACTTAGATGTTTAAACGATTTATCATTAAATAAGATTTTTAGTGATGTTATAATAAATTATAATCAATTATAATTGATTATATTTTTCCTAAAATCTCTTATAATCTTTTATAAATTCTTATAACCTCTTATAAACTTTTATAAGAGATAACAATACTGCTCGTATCAGGGCGAAGCCCTGAATGTTCCGACTGCCTTTTAAGCTTTATGGAGCAGCAATAACATAAAAAATGAAATGAAATAAAATAAAATGAAATTTTTCTTTTAATTTAAATTTTTTTTTGAAAATCAACCCCCCCCCCCACAATCCATCTAAAGTACAAAGGATTAAATTTTGCTCCTTGTAACAAATCAATTAGGGCAGATAAGCTTCGTTCAACCAATTTGGAACGATTTCTAAGACGGATTAACTCTCCGCTTACGCGTTAATAGCGCGAATTATATCGCGCGTTAACTGTCCCAAATTGGTCAAAATGGCAAAGTATAAACCCTCACTTTACGAAAAATGATCACAGGTGAAATATCTTTTCAAATTTAAGCTCAGGACAACAAAACCTTTTGAATGGTAAAAAAAAAATTCGTCAAAAATGGCTAGTTAAAAAGTCGAAATTTGTCTGAAGAAAAAAAAACCCACCGCGAGCACAAATATTCCGTTACTTTCGTATCGAAAGTCGGAACAATAATACTTTTTTCTGTCAAAAGTCTCTCAAAGTGAGATATCTTGTCACTCTTTGGTTCATCTGAACACGAAGTCTTACCACGAAGCAAACGTTTCATTGAGATCCCTTCATATTAGTTGAAAGAACCCTGCGGTAGGTGAAACATAACTCTTCTATATAAATCATGAAAATAAAGCAGTGTGCTGATACTTTAGTGGTCAAAAAATAAAAAATGTATATCATGAAACAGCTATAATCAAGAAAAATGAAAAAATAAAAAAGTGATAAATTGATTTGAAAACTGTTAAAACAAATTTCCCAGTTTTCAGATAAACCAACGTCTACGAAAAGCATAAAAAATAAGCAATTGATTGGCAACGTCGAAGACAAAAGGGCAAACAAAAGGATTATAAACAATTATAATTGATTATAATGGATTTTTTCTTGAAAACAAATGAGATAGAAATTCGGATAAAATAATAGTTTCTAATGTATTATAATTGAATGTATTTCATCTCAAAAAGAGAGATCATAATCGATTATTAATTGATTAAAATCATCTTTTTCTCAATTTTTGTAAGACTGTTATTAAAATCATAATATAATCGATCATTGACGCTTGAAACTAAATGTGGCTAACCCCCCCCCCCCCCCCCCCGACTTTTTGAGGGGGGAGGTCTTGAATCTTAAATGCGAGTAGGGGCATCAATTGAATAAAGAGTTCTACCAAAATTTGAATTTGACCAGTATTTTTTGAACAGGTTGCTCAATTGCGCTGAAAAACAACGAACACCAGTAGAAAACATTCAGGATTTTTTCATCAACCCAAACTCCTTTGATTATCGATAGAAAAAAAGTAATCAATTGTGCAAAAACTTGTTTGGACATGGTTGTCCTTTTAAATGTTGCCATTAGCAATGGTCAAATGAATAAAAAACAACGAGTAATTTGCGCTCTACCTTTTTCAGTCGTATTAGTGTCTTGCACATCGGTTTTTTGATCACAATCCATACGTTCTAAAAACGAAGTGCTTTTCTAAAACGCACTTTTTCTAAAACGCAATTATAATTTTGATTTGAAAGCTTTGACAAGTTCTTATGATTCTTATGAATATGCACTTGTTTTTCTTTGTTTCTGCATTTTTTCTCATTTAATATGTGGGGAAGTGATTATGGTAGTGGGATGACATGCCTAGTCTTGTGGCTGTGATGGAGGGAGAGGGAGACCTGGACTGCGATTGGGACGCACACGCGGCTGCCCCTGAGGGAATTGAATGATGCGAACTAGGAGGATGGAGTTGAGGAGGCTGTTGATGAGATGTGAGCCTATGAGGACTTCTGCTGCAGCTGCTGCTTATATGGGTGCAATTATTCACAGTCCTCACACCAGGTGTCTGGCTACTGCCTTCGCCCACTTCTCCGATGCACTGTGTGTTGCTCTTGTTGACCTGTGCCTGTTCTCTGTCCTCTTCTGCAGTGTCGCTCTTCTGCCCACTGCACTTGTGACAGCAGTCTAACACAGTGTCCTTCTTATTGTCCCTGCTGCTAGTGGCGGTGGTGGTGGCTCCTCCTTCACGCCAATCCGTCTGTCCACTTCTTCTTCTTCCCCTCTGTGTCTTACTATCTGCTCGTTCCTTTGAATCCTTCGTTGATTTGGGATTCGCTGATTCCTTCCCCTTCCGTGAACGAAGGATCGGCACCAATCTAAAACACAAGGTCATACGTTTATACACTAAACCATGCCAAAATGAATCTGTCTTCAAAAATTTAGGGAAAAAATGGTCAGGTTTCAAAAATCTCCGCTAGTAATAAGCAATTGTTCGTCAATTGTAACTTTACCGAATTGGTTATCAAGATCTCCCAAAACACCAAAAAAACTATCCTGTGCAAACATTTTAGTAGCTGTCATTTTGGACTGATTGCTGGTAAATCTTTGACCAGCCCTGCCGGTTTTCTCAACATTTAATCGTCCTGAATTATATTACAATCTAATTTTTGAACAATAATATTTAATAAAATTGAAAAGCCCTGCGTGTTTGTTCCTTGTTTTAAAAAGTTCCATTATAAACTGTGCATACAGTTCAAGTGAAATCTGAACGATTTGCATTATAACCCGGGTTGAAAAAATATGAGAGTGAAAAAATTTCAATTTATGGAAAAAGCTTGTCATACAAATTCTGTACTTATTCAAAAGAAGAAAAAAAGTGTGAAAATAGCATGACCATCATGTTTTCCATTTATGAAATTGCATGACTAGCGTTTTTCTATTAATGGAACTGTATGACAAGCACTTTACCAAAGTAGGATACGCAGATGAGAAAACCAATAGATTAAACATGCAGATTAAACTAAGTTTTCAGATATGCCAAAAGTAAGTTAACTTCTTGACTTTCACGTAATATTTTAATTTAAAAAACGGAATTTTTGCATCTGGCTTTGAGGCTTCTATTTCAAAAAAAATGTGGCCTGTTTTTTGGACAGATTTGGGTATAAAAATTATTATAGAAAATTGAAAAATAATCATTCTAGCATCACAAAACACCTCCATTGTGACTTTTGAATTTTCTGTGTCAAACAACTGGTTAGAAACACATAAAATCATTTTCAAATTATAATCGGCCCTTAGTTTTTAATTTTGTAATATTTTGCGTTGTTTTTATAAGAGACCTGTGAAATAGGGGAAAAGTCTTAAAATTGTCATTAGCGGTTCTAAGTCAGGAGATTTTTGTAGTATCGTCACACCGGGTCAGCAATTTGAGAATTTCGACAACAATTTCACTTTTATTCATCAATGTTTTTCGCAAACGCTTCCCAGTGAAAATTGGTATGAAGAATACCTAAACGGCTCTAAACTATCCATAAAAATCTGTTTCTGGAGTTTTTGAGAATTTAACAGATAGACCTGGGGAGATTCTAATTTTTCTTCAAAAATACCCTGCTGTTTTAAATGATCAAGAAGAAATAGACACTTTTGTGTGCTATTTTCTTTTTGGAACCTGATCTAAACTACATTTTATGATTGGATAAATTAGATATTTTACCACTGTAAAGTATTTAATATTAACCAATCATGATCCATCAAACTAACAACCCACTTATTTGTAAGTGCTGGAATTACTTGTAATTTCAGCACCAGAGAGATTTGAATTTAACTTAGAAATTAGTTGACTCTCCAAGAAGACTTCAGCAGCCGCAATAAACCAGTATACCCTAGATCTATTGAGCCTAGCAGAGACTAGTTAAACAACCTGAGACTATATAGTATAAGAGTAAGATTAGGATCGGTATTAGACCAAGAAGTTGCACGAATCTATCCGGCCGAAAATAAGATAGCGTGACGAGCAGACGGTGTACCCTATCCGAAATTACTCTATGAGTTAACCACCTCGAAATTAACTCATCTGGTGCGACCATAAGTCTCGAACAAGACCTTAATAGCTTAGAATTAACCAAAAATAGATTAGAAATTAGACAAAACATTTTTAAAATGTTATACGACGATAATTTAATCTAAATGTCTCTACGACTCAATAGATCAGAGCCAATATTCCGAACGATAACAGAACTACCCGGAATTGCAAGAAGACCTCGAATCAGAGACGACATACGACAAAATAGAAACTTACCAAATAGTTATATGATAGTACGGCAAAAGCCAACACAAACTTTTATATTTAGAATTTTATTAGCAATGAATTTAGATTTTCATTTGCAAACATAAAATTTTGAAGTCAATCTTCATAATCATTTCAGGCGCTAAGACAAAACTATTAATATACAATAACGATTGAGAAAAAGATCTCAGATCGTTTTCTTAAAATTCTGCAGTATTATATAAAACATGTTTGGAAAATATTTATTGAAAATCAAAACAAAAATTAGTAGCATGACAATAAACTGTTAGTAATCATAAAATCATCAAATTGTCCCAGCTTCATCACCTAAAACATAACAGCAATCATAAGCTCACTAATATCATTAAAAAACTAAATCTTTTTCTTAAACAAATTTAAATCATTTTAAACTTAAAATCACCTAAATTTAAAACCAGATCATCAAGGCTTATCCTTGGATCTTAATTCATTTTCTATTTAATTAAATTTAAAACTTGAAAATCAAGGCCTATCCTTGGATCAAAAAGAACAATTTTGTTCTCCCCCACCCACTTAGCTAGTGTCTAACGACCTCAAACGTCGATTCACTATCCAACCCTTTCTAAAAACCCAAGACTAATAGAAATTTTTCAACAAAACTGACCATTCAAATTAGGATAAACAGTGAAGAACTTCGGTTATTCATCCTTCACTTGAACCCTCTTCAAGACCCAGGATAAATCTTAGACTTAGTAAGTTTAAAATAGTATCTAACGAACTACTCGCGTTCTAATTATACCTGAACCTTGTGGATCGATTTACTATTCTCCAACCCTTGAACACAATCACTACCCCCCTATGTAAGATTAAGTAAGTTAACACCTTAGCTTATACTAGCCACGAGAAAGTAAAAAATCATTCTTCGGAATCGATATACTTTTCTCTCCAACCCTGAACAAATAGAACCAGGTTAAGCTAGCCAAAAAATCGTAAGGACTAACAGATTAAGAAAATAGAAATCATCTAACAACTTTTTGCATCCGTCATCCTAAACTTTATGTCATTTAAAAATCTAGGAAACGAACAAATAATCGTTTTACACAACTGTGAAATAGATAACAAAAAATACGATCTTGTAATCACACCTCATACACAAACAGTTGGATATATTAGAACAAAACGACAAACACTAAAAAGAAAAATAATAAACAAACAAAGACAAATCACACGAAAAAGATTTTCCAAAAACAGAAACGCATTTTCAGAATCAGAAGCCAGCAATTTAGACGAACTTTATAAATTAAAAGAATCAATTGATAAAAATTGTCCCATTCACGATCAACTATATTTTTCCGACTCAGAAACAACTTCAAATTCATCAAAAAGAGGAAAAAGACGAATAAAAAAGCAATATAAACACAAACCAGTACACTTATATAACTGGAATCAACCAATTAGACACATCGATAATTACCTATTAACAGTCATTAAACGAAAAAATGAGCCAAACACACACTCCAAGTGAAGATAGTCCAGATGATGACGATATCTTCCCCATCCTCGTAGATGCAACCAATGATAGAGGACAGCATATATTTTGCAAGAATTTACTCCTAAATTTGTTTGAACCCGGAATCAGCCCATGTAAAACAGAGTTCCCAGATGTAAAAATCAAAAGACAAATTATTGATCACTATCTGAAAGATATATGTAATTTGATACAACACTACGGAATCTACACCATAGAATTCACCTCACCAAACCCGAATCACCGCAAATATGTAATTCAAACAGACGACCTTGATTTAGAATTTTCAAAAGTATTCTCAGAATATATAAAAAGCATACAATATCATAACTCACAAAGAGCAAACTCCATATTTACTAACGAAGTTTTTGCAATAATATATAGTTATATCTCAATATTAGAAAACGAAATCCCAATCCCAAATGTCTCACCGACAGAGACATCTAAACATATAAGGGTACGACATGAAATCACACTATTTTCATCTTTCCTAAATATAATTAAAAAAAATTTCACTAAAGATGAGGTTTCACAACATACAAAACATGACTTACAAAAAATTTTGGCATGGTTTATAATAGATTATTTCACACATAATATAGATTTAATTTCACAAGCAAGAAAAAATTTTAGACCTCAAAATTCAAACGATGATACCGCCATCACAGAACAGTCAGACTACATTTGGGACCCCGAATGGTCTCATTATGCATTCATAGATTTCCCACAATCAATCTCAACACAATGAAAACCTTAATGGAACTAGGAATCTCACTCAACAAGATATTTAGACACCATCACACTTCATAAATGAAGAAATTGTCCAAACAACAACAACTACACAACAAAGTATTTCACCGATACGTCCAAATTTAACAACACCAAGAAATACAAACACTTCACTAGCACAGGTAACCTTACAATCAACCGTTAAACCTTCGGTTGCTCCAAAATATTCACAAATGGATTACCAAACATATAGACCCATGACAATACCGTCAAAAACATGCACGCAGATCGTTCACAAGAAACAATTTTGCGGAACATAATTATAATTATACACATTCATCAAAAACAAACTATCCTCCACGAAATAATAATAATAATCAAATCAGATCTCGATATTGGAATAATCCAATGGCAACAACCAATTCAGTAAATTTTCAAGCTAATCCACATCCTCCACAGGATCATAGTGAAAATTACCCATTCTTTCAACAGAATAAAAATAAAAAACAAGCACCTCATCAAACGGATTACCTATCCTCTGATGATGATTATTTACAACCAGATATATTTGCACCATATACCCAAGAATATCGCGGACAAGGAATGCAGAAACCATATACACATCATAGAATTTTTTCTCCACACCAGATAGATACACAAAATCAACAACCAATACAAATGCAAAACCCAATTAATACACAATCTTTTCAACCAATTCAGCCACAAAACCCAATGATTACACACTCACATCAACCAACACAAATGCAAAATGAAATACCACTTCCATATTATCTGCAACAACACGAAATAACAAAAAATCAATTTTCAAATTTTTCACAAATGCCAAATGCAGC